TTAGTAGTGCGGTGGCTGGCATGGGGGCAGGCTGCTGATAGTGCGGTGTCCCAATCCATTGAATTGTGCTGCTTTTTTCGTGCTGTTGTTGTTGTTGCTTCAACAGTGCATCGGCGCTAAAATCGGTGGCAGCGGGTGTAGCCTCGCTGGCGTTCACTCCGGGTGAAGGCAGGTGTTTCGACATAGCATTTTCTAAATCTTTCACTGACGCCTCAGAATGTTGTTGCTGCTGCTGTTGCGATTGCTGCTGCGNGCTCCATTGCTGCTATTTTGGATTGCGGCTGTGAATCTGCCACCGGTGTACTAACCGCACTAGCTTCCGGGGTATCTTCCATTTGCATGGAAGCTTTGGATTTTCGTTTGCGTTTTGTTGTTGTATTGGGCGTACTCACTGGTGTAGCTACAGTTACCGGCAAGGAACTCGCCGTATTTTCCATTTCGACGTTTACAGAATTTGGACTATCTTTCACTAACGTTAAACTGTTGGCGCTGGTATTGGCCGCTGAGTTCGTACTGCGCCCACGGGGACGCTGGTGGTGCCCATCTCCATCAGCCTTGGGAGATGATGATTTTGTGTCTCCTCCCACTCCCGCTTGACCTTCGGGTGCGGCATCGCCACTTGGTGAACCCGAATTCTTATCAGTGCCAAGCTCCTCGTGCTTAATACAGTCCACACTGGGCTCCAACTGGCAGCAGTCCAATATGAGATTCTCATTCTCTCGATTACTGCAAAAAGAAATAGACATTTTTGAAATAGACAAGGCACGGTCTTACGAGATCTCACCTAATGACATAGTTCACGCATATAATGTTTTGTTCATCTGCGTTTTTCGTACTGCAAACAACTGTCGCGCAGGTCTGTAGCCAAGTGTAGCCGCCATTCTTATTCATCAGCCGAAAATAACCTGTAAGGACTTGGCCCTTCTCGATCACTGAAATACAATGAATTAAAATTGTGATTATTGAATTACGGTCCATTATTTGCTAAAGGTAATGTAGATAATAAATATCAGATATATAAAAAAATGTTAAGATATGAAAAATAACAAGTGACACTCACGATCCATGTGGCTTTTTCTCAACCGGA